ATTTTTCATATTTGCCATAACATTACTACATTCTGTTCTATGGGTTTAATGCATTTGCAGACAATGTAATTACATGTAACTGTCATATAACTGTATATTCACTGTTTTAGAGGAGAGTGCCATTGAATGTGTAGCTAATATTAAGTGGATTTTCATGAAAAAAAAATCAGAACTGAAAACAAACACTGGATTAAAAAAAAAAATCCCAATAAATGTCCAAACAGTATGCTATTAGAGCATTTATTGTATTATACCTTGCATTATTTACATCTATTTTTGCATTTGATGTTGATTTGAGGAGTTGTTACTTATTATTGTCATGCCAACTGAGAATTTATTGCAATGATTTTAAATTCAGTTGAGGTATCTGACATATTATGACATAACATTGATGTTTTATATGAAGTCTTTAGAGCCATAGGCTATAATATATTGTTTTTAGATAAATTGCTCAGAGACCAACAAGTTGGACAGAGGTTATATGTACTAATCATCCAAGCACCCAATTCCTAGCCATTTCTAAAGGCTACATTTCATTAACATTGCTAAATATTATTAAACAGGAAAAAAATTAAAGATCCATCTTTGATTGTCAAAAGAATTCCAGGTTCAGTTCACTCAGCCAATTAGATTTCACCTAGTATTTTCATCGGTCAGTTGTGGATGTCTGATTGGTTTAAGCTTTATTTATATAGCACCTTTTAAAACAGTGTATACAAAGTAGCCTACTTTACAAAGAGGTGCATTCGCAGAAAAGATCAAAATACAAACATAAAAGAGATATAGTAAAACAAAGTAGCTACAATAACAAGTTTGTTAAAACAAAAATACAACAATAAAAAAAATCAAGGAAAGGCCCTGTACAAATCTGTTTTGAGACTACTTTTTAAAAAGTGCATAATGATAACTTTTGACAACGTTTAATTCAGGTGCGAAAATAATTAATATCTATAGTGCATGAGCACAGAGAGATTTGAGAGTGCACAGGACACAGTTTGAGTGAGAGGAGAGACACGTTTTAAAAAAACGTCCGGTTTAGTGCAAGAGCAAAGGAAATCCGTGCGCAAGCAGAGAGATTCGCGCTCGCGCAATATATTAATGTGCTTTCGCGCTACAATAATGCGCTCTCGACATTTGTCATTAAAATAACGCCATAGTTGCAGGCTTGCCTTCTAGTGGCTTTGGAGTATCTGCACTAGACTGCACGGCCGACTCGCTATCGCGAGAGATTTTTGCCATATGTCGAAGTGAAGCCGCACAGTTCAGATACAAAATAAACACTGCTGCCTACAAATCTTTTATCCTTTGTTGTACAGCACAACAAAGTAGGACATAGCAATAAACACAATTACCTCAGACAAACCCCCCCCCCAAAACAACCGGACAGGCAAATCTCGTGGTCTCGCGAACCAAGTTGCTTGCTTCTCTTTTGAAATGCAGTTGGCTTCCTCCCATTGACAGACAGGCACATGACACACATGTGCAATTTTTCCCCTCAATCCACTTCAGTGCAAACTCCGCCCCACAGCTGATTCTAAAGATGTTATTGGTTGTGTCAATTAAAGTGTTGATTTCCTACACTATGCTACAAAAAATGCTAACCCCTAAACCCACCCCACACCTGACCCTAACCTTATCCAGTGAAATTGACTGGATTGGCGCTGAATAGCGTGGTAAAGATAGTTGCAGTTCAGGAGATAAACAGTTAATAAGATTATGCGTAATGAGATCGTTCCGTAACTCCCCAACTGGACCTCACCGGACAATGGCACCTTTTTAGTTACACCCAGCGTCACTACCCCCTCCTACCCTGTGAATTTCGAGCCCCGGGACGCCCCCGTTGCTTAGAACAAAGCGATGGAGTGAAATTGTTGCGCTGCGCTGGGACTGCTCGCGGGAGAGCTCGTGGGTGATTCCCGTTTATATCATTAAGCAGATGTTCAAACTCCAGTCCGAACACCACTGGCCACGAGCTTTGGGCTCTGCTCTCACTGAGAATATTTATTTATATAGCATATTTTATTTTAGATGAACTAGAAACAATGTTTAATTTATAAAATTTTATTTTGAAATGTAAGTCAATAACAATTGGCTGGAGCCAGATCCAATGGTGAAAGTCTTTGCGCGAGGAAACCCCGCCCCATTTTGGAGGTTCTGCCCACTTTTGGAGTTCACGCCCCATTTTGGAGATCTTCGGTCTGCAGTTATATCTACTTGGATTTTGGAGATCTTCGGTATGCACTTATATCTACTTGGGCAGACGTGTGCAGTGTAGGCCGGTTTCACACCGCAAGCGTAAGCGGGGCATATTTTTTTTTCAGTGAGCATGTTAACAAATGAGTACATTCACACCGGGAGCAGGAGAAACGTGTGAGCAGTACTAAAGCGATGGTTTCGGCGCGAGTCTATTTTGGGTGCGCTGCTCATTCTCAATTAATGTGACATCACACTTTTGATGGACAAAATAAATATTTCACACACAAAGTGCTAAAAATGCACAAGCATGTCTAGTGTGTTTAACAAGAATTGGAGTATGCCAGGAAAGAAAATTAAGAATGAAAATATTTATAGATTTACCCATTTTAACTTTTTGGGTTAATGTACAGTGTATTATAAAAAATATTATAAACAGTACATTCTTCATGGAAGTATGCCTGAAACACACTATCAGAGCTATTTCCTTGGTTGTGTTTGTTTTTTTACTATTTACATGCGAATCCCAGTGTTAACAAACTTTCAAGACTTTAAAACTTTCAAGTTTATAAATGACCAGCTTCTGAAAACACATTTATAGTTGTCTTTGTAAAAAACAATATGTAGCTTTGGAGCCACTGCTGTGTCCAACATTAAAAATTAAACTAAAGTAGGCAATTCAGGATTACTTGAAAATAACAGGCAGGTGTATGTGATTAGGGTTAGAGCTAAACACTGCAGGATAGTGCCCACCCCTGTTCTATCATATTAAAGTCAAAATTATTATCAGACCAAGCCTGACAAAAGGAATTTTGACCCCCAATTCTTTAGTGGGCCTCTGATTAATTTGATGGTAAAGGTGACTTGGCAATACTGATTCATATTAAATTGAAAATTGGGCCATGACCTTAGGGTGCCTATGAAGTTTGACACTGGTTAGTTCAGTACTTTTAAATCACTCTGACTAAAATGCTGCCTATATTGATGGTTGGGATCATGCTTAAGCCGGGCTCAGACTACAGGAGTTTTAAAATCCTAACCAATGAAATCTGGTTGCAGCAGACACATAAGGAGAATCTTCGCAGATTTAGTTCCCTCAAATCTTAAACACGCACACACTACAAGATCTGAAAATCAAGGCACATTACACACTACGATTTTATAAAGATTTTCATGTCCGAGGGAGTGCCTCACATGATCTGACGAAGCAGATTGTCATTGACGTTTCAGCAATGTTTACATATGTTAGCTAGAGTGTTAGCAGCTTTTACACTCTTTGTCCTTGCGGTTGTGGTACGTTTCTGATACATTGCTGGTGGAAGTTTTGCAATAACGCAACTGTCTGTACAGTTTCTCCATCTCCTCTATCCAACGGACCCATACAGCAGCTTGTTTTGCAGTCGAGTATTGGCTATTGTGAAAGTACTGACGTAATCATAGCCATCATCCCGATTTAAAATCCTAAATTTCAAACATGTTTGATGATAATCGGGGCAGCCCCTATTTGTGTGAGAGCAGATCGGGAGGTGCAAGATTCGATCTGCAAACGCCTCACATTACAAGATAATCCTTGCCAAACATCGGAAGCCAACCAAGATCCTCAAAAAGATTTTTTCTCCCATTCTCGGGAGGGTAAAATCGGGGATACATCGGCCTAAATCTCCTGTAGTGTGAGCCCGGCTTTAGTTCAGTGTGTGTGTGCGCTGTCAGGCTTCCTGTTATGCTTATAAATTGTTACACAATAAATGGCTTTTCTTTGCAGACATACAGAAAGAGGAAGCTGGAGGGTGACAGACTTGCTAAGGTTGGAGATCTTAAAAAGATCTCTAATGGCCTTTCATCTTCTCTCAACGGAGCTAACTCCAAACAGAAGCTGCAGTGATGCCACAATATGGAGCAAAATGGAATGCTCTTCTCAATTCACTTATGCTGAATGCTAGCACAATAGTAGCCATAATCATCTGATAATCAAAATGCAATTTTATAAATTAGAATATAACTTTTTAACCATTTTGTATGTTTGTTTTGCATACGTTCCTCTCTAGCCAATGTAAATGCTGTACAATAATTTTGTGTGGAAAAACATTTTTCAAACTCTTATTCAAAATAAACACCTGTTATGGAGTACAGTATCTACTTTATTACACATCTTTGGCAATTTATCTCTAATGACAAGAAAACATTCAGTAATATCCCCCAAATCACTATAATCATTTATTGTTCAACAAAAGATGCCTTAGGCTACAAGTCTTAATCTGATATAACCATTCAGTGTGTAATTGAATGTAAAGATATGTAGGATCGTAAATCATAGCACTAATAATACACCTTTCCCAAGTCTTCATTATCAGCCATCAGATATGGATTGTTAGGTATAGACATCAAGTCCCATGAAATGCTGTATAAAATAAATTTGTAACCGTTAAAGACCCCATGAAAATGTTTGACGTATGCCTTTTTGTTGTTGTTGTTGATGATGATGAGGGTTGGTGCTAAACTTTGCAGGAAAGTGTATATCAAGGGCCAGAATTGCCCACCCCTGATATATTTCCTATTGCTACCAGAGGGAATAGCAAAGGGTTTGCCCATTTGTTTAAACGGCCAGTAACCTTTTGTTATAAATGGCACAGCTTTGAACCAGGATTTGTTACATCCTATTGCAAGTCTTGGCAGCTGCTATCAGCAAACAGACCAACGCATTCTATAAAGCATTTTATTGGATATGCTGGTTGTTGAGTCATCAGTATTTTTGGTCTGTTTTGCTAGAAGATCACTGTGTATATCGGCTTAATTTTAATAGGAACATCTGCATGTATAATACATGACTCAAAACAGTACAAATCTTCAGTTTTAATTACATGAGTGTTTGGTGCAAACCTTTAAAATACATATATTTTTAAATGACCACAGAAAACAATGATTGTCTTTATTATAATCTAAATAAAGCACTTGCACTTTGAAATTATAAATTTGATCAAGTGATATTTTACACCAACAAAAATTGCTTTAATTAGGAGTAAACTTTTCAGTCCGAAAAAATAAATAAATGAAGAGATCTTCATCTCTCTTCACATATGAAGAGAGAGAGAGAAAAAAAAAAAAGCACCATAGTGTGAAGTCCTATGAGGGATCAACAGTAGTGGCATCTTGAGGAGAGGCAGGCTGGAGAAGATGACAATTTTAATAACTTAAGAGTCTGAGTAGTATGTATTATCGATTTACACGCTAACATTTAAATCAGATATTCCTGACCTGGAAAAAGTCCAGAATTCTTGGTCTAAAGTCTACATCCAATGCTGGTTAAAGAAAGCTGTAATGAACAAACTGCTCACCGCAGTAATTTTGGCCTCTCTTCTCGCTGATAAACTAAACGGCGATTCAGCACTCACATGCGGGATGAGGAGAGAATCCAACCTGTTATGGGAGAGCAGAAGCTTTTTTTTTTTAAACTTACGTACAAGAACTTGCCTTGGTCACATGGATTTCTGCTAAATATGCAATAGACAACAGATAAAATACAGTACATACAATGAGATGTGTACACATGATATATAGTTTTAAAATTAACTGCAGTTAGGTCAAATATCTTATTGCGCGCAATAGACAACAGATAAAATACAGTACATACAATGAGATGTGTACACATGATATAGTTTTAAAATTAACTGCAGTTAGGTCAAATATCTTATTGCGCGCACACACACACACGTGACTTTAGGCTTGAGAAAAGCTTGTCTGAATGTTTTAAATAAAGTCCTGAACTCTAAAGATTATTGGGGCCTGGCGCCATCATTTTGATTTCGCAAGCGACAACGGTGTATTAGTTCTAATGCCATGACGAAGGTTTGAGCAAAACATGCTAAATGTTCTGTCTTTGGCTGCAGACCAGCACACTATTTAGAGTCCCAGCCTAAGAGGAGACAAGACAGCAGTGCATTTATTGATTTATTTAATGTATATTGCTGCTGCCACACAGATCTAAAATAAACATGCAATTTATTTCCCAGCAGTTTACCTCCACAGACATAACAGACCGTTTTGTGACTTGTGTTTTTAACGTAAACTTGTGTGAATGAGAACTTGGTTTAGTACTCACATGCTGTGACAGCAGCTTTCTGTCCGTGTGCTTCAGATGTGTGCTCTCAGAAAACCATATATCAGTAGTTTAAACTCGTATGCTTTAAAACGCATGATTTCAGCACGATAAACTTGATAATCAGAACCAAAACGGATATTTTTGCAGGTCCGAGCTGTAACTGCACAGCTCTATTCTAGAAAAGGGGCGGGGAGCAGCAGCTAATTTGCATTTAAAGAAACTGGCCCGAAAAAGCCAGTTTCTGCTTCCACTCAAAATAGGCATTTTCAAAGTGATATAATAAATCTGTGGGTTATTTGGAGCGGAAACTTCACAGACACATTCTGGGGACACCAGAATGTGTTTATTACATATTGTAAAAAGGGGCATAATAGGTCTCCTTTAAATAAATAAAATTAATTTACTTCAAAAGCTCTATAGCAGGGCTGTCCAAACTCAGTCCTGGAGGGCCGGTGTCCTGCAGAGTTTAGCGCAAACCCTAATTAAACACACCTGAACCAGCTAATCAAGCTCTTACTAGGCACAGAAACTTCCAGTCAGGTGTATTGAGGCAAGTTGGAGCTAAACTCTGCAAGACACCGGCCCTCCAGACTGAGTTTGGACAGCCTGCTCTATAGGGTGAATTACAATATTAAAATTTGGCTTAGTGTTGGGGACTATGGGAGAAATAAAATCAGTTCTCCAAATATACAGACATAAATGGCATGTGTGCTTCAAGCAAACTTAAAACAGGCTTGGACTACCTCTTCTGCTGTTTATCACAGAATGCCCGAACTGTGTCAGACTCCGACTGCCAGAAATTCTGAAACATGACCAAGTGCATATGACAGAGAACAGCACTGATTTGTTCTATTAAATTTGCTTTGTTCAGATGAAAATATAAACATTTCAATTTGCTTTTGCAGGTATTCTATTTAATATGACAATGTGCCCATTTTATTGAGAAGCTGAGACAGACCACAGTCTCTTTCTCTATGGTTTTGAGAGACAGACAATCCTGCTCCAAACATGTCAACTGCTGCACCACTGTGTTCTGGAACTGCTCCAGATGTGCCAACCTACATGCAGAACAGCATGGTTTGTTTTATGAATCTCAGCTATAACCATGTGGATTAAAAGAGAGCAGTGTTAGAGTTTAGTCAGCTGAATTGGTTACATGTTTATACAAGATTTACATGGTTTATGGACAAAAATCAAAGAAGTTGCTGAATGCTAATGCTGTGTTTTGTGCTCTGTACCTTTGATTGTGTACAGTTCCCAAGAGAGAAGTCACATTTCTCTGACAGTCTGTTAAAGATTGCAGGGATCTGGCTTCAATCTTCTTATACCTGCTCTGGATCACAAAGAAAAGAATTCCATGCTGACTAAAATCAGGTGTTCACCCAAAATGTCCCTCATGCATGTCCCCGTTTAGCTTCTTTCATTTAACACAGAATGAGATAATTTTAACATTAAATGACAGCATTTTTCTACTTGCCAAGCAGTAAAATGGCAAAGCCATAAAATTAGATTTGCAAACTAGGGCCTAAACCATAAACCGTTTGTGTTTTTTTTTTAAGATTAGTTTGTGCCAACCCTGGGTTTTAGGCAACATGAAAGTGGTTCAGATTTTAGCAGTATTCAATGCTATAGTATGCTCCACGGCTAACCTGCTCCAGATCAGATTTTATCAAAATTGTGGGCAAAGTGACATCTCTGATGTAATAAAGCTCCAGATTAAAGGGCACTACATAGTAAAAGATTTTAAAGACAAAATTGTCTAGCTTTTAGCGATTTATTATTATTATTAATAAATGATAATGGATTCGTATATTTATATAAATATTACAAAAGCATTTTTAAAAATTAAAGCATTTAGTTCAAATTATAGTATATAAATAAATATAAATAAGGGGTGGTGGGGGGGGTTTAAGGGAACTTTATCCCTTAAACTTCAGGGATATCAATACGTCCAATCAGGAAGCATAAGTAATTGTGAATCTGTTTCACCTGCTTTGGTGCAAATGAAAGTGAAAACCGGTGCACTGGAGAGGCAACAGCAAGACTACCCCAAAAAGGGAATCGTTTTGCAGGTGGTGACCACAAACAATTGCTCTCTTATCATTCCTGACCGATTTGTCCCTAGTTACGCTTTTTGTTAGAATCTCACTACTTGAGTAGCATGAGGAAGAATCTGCAACCCAATCAGCTTGCATAGGTAGTCCAGCTCCTCCAGGACGGCACATCCATATGTGTTGTTGCAAAGAGGTCTGTTGTGTCTTCCAGTACAGTGTCAAGAGCATGGAGGAGATACCAGGAGAAGGGCTGTTACACAAGAAGAGCTGGACAGGGCTATATAAGGGCAACAACCCAGCAGCAGTACCGGTATCAGTAACGGCCATGGGGTAACGTTATTCTGCCTATAATATAATCAAGCTTGACTGTTTTGTTGGTGGGTCAGTGATGGTCTGGGGAGGAATATATATATATATGAGGGTCACACAGATCTTCACATGCTAGCCAGCGGTACCTTACTGCTCTTAGGTACCAAATGAGATGCATTTATAAAACTGTCAGTTCCAAAACGGTCATGCTGGATGATGTTGCAAGGCAGCATAATGTTCCCCATGGCATCTCCAGGCTCTTTCACGTTTGTTGCACGTGTGAACCTGCTCTCATCCATGAAGAGAGAGAAAGGAGTTGACCTTGAACTCTTCATTGTTTCTTTACACCATTCCTGAACTATGTGTGCAGTGTATTAGGGTTCAATATCCTGCTGAAAGAGGCCACTACCATCAGGAAAAACCATTCCCATGATAGGTGTACCTGGTCTGCAATGAGGTTTCGGTAGCACGTGGCCCAGAGCATCACAGTCCCTTGACCAGCTTGTCATCTTCCCACATTGTATTGTGGTGCCATTACATCCCCAAATAAACATGTTAAAGGAAACACTGCTCCATGGTACTGTTCTGTTGCTTGTGTCCGCATTCTATGGGCTTTGGGCTGTGGACAGGGGTCATCATGGACACTCGTACCAATCTGTACCTACACAGGGCCATCATTAAAACCTAGAAAAACAGATTTTCTACAAATGATGTGACTTCAATGCCCTAAATGCTGTCACCAAGTTGTGGTTTGTCCCTCCTCGACCACCATTTGGTTTGATGCTCCAACACAGTTGTCCGACCACAAAAATTTGGCCCTTGTCGAAGTCACTCAGGTGTTTATTCCTGCCAATTTCACCTTGATTAATAAAAGTTATCTTCACCTATGAGTAGTTAAAATGTTTTGGCTCATCACGGTGTATGTGTATATAACACACAAGCATATATACACACACACACAAACCTATTTATCCATCTAAGCCTTAATCAATTTAAAAGCTTTATCTGTTGCTTTTATGTAATTTTACATGTTCGAGTCTCTGAATACTTATCTAAACTCAAATAGAAATGTCCCTTTTTCACAATAGTATATTTTACAGAATTTTGAATAATCCAAATAGGCTTTACGGAACATTATTGGAAAGGGTTTAGATATTTTTCATACTTTGTTTATGGTCCATTGAACATTCACTTGTGGAACAGTCCCTACGATGCTTATTGTTTGTTTTGCAGGTGGTAGGGCAACTATGGTCACAGTTATAATAACTTTTCTACGGACTCTGAAAACAGAAAAAAAAGACACCCAAATTCCCTGATCACCTTTGTGAATATGCCAAAATCCTGCTGCAGGGAGATATTAGGACTACAGACGTGGTCGGAGCAATAAACTACAATGTTCATAATGTAAGAGGCCTAAGCCACAGGAAAAACAGCTGACTGTCCTTGCAATAACAAACCCCGTCTGGAGGGACACATGAGTACACATGTTCAAGAACTTGCAAATGTCTTGGTGAAAGAGTGGAGTACCATCTCACAGCAAGAACGTGCAAATATGGTGCAGTTCATGAGGATGATACAGTGTAGTCATTAAAACAGCTGGTGACCACTGTATAGCAAGATATTTTCTTTTGGTTTTCCCCCTTTCATGAACAATTCTTTTTTTTGGTGCATCAATACTTGTTAATTTTTCAATCTCAATCTTCATCAGAAGAGAGAAGTGAACTGCAGTTTACTCTATATTTGGGGGGGGGGGAATTCAGTTGTATGGACTATTGAGGTTTTTGTTTGTGCGCGCTTTTAGTAGTTTGATAGCACCCATTCACTTTTACTGAATGGAAAAACAGCTTGGACCAAAAAAAAAAACCAAACAAAAAAAAACTATGGAATAGCATTACGTAGACTTTTCTTTAATAAAAAGACACAGAACTAAATTTTTGGTAATCTTAATGCCAAAAAAGCTTTTGTACTCACAGTAAAGTGTGCTCTCAACTGCGTCTTAAAGGAGTTAAAAGCAGCTCTGACACCAGCACCCAACTCTTCCTCAGACTCCTCATCCGCAAATGCTTCAGTTACTCGCTCTAACACAGAGAGACACATTTTTAAAAAATCCTATTTTTGCAAATGAGGATGAGCATTTTGACAAAGCTAGCAAGCTTCTTAGATACAATGTTTTTCACAAAAATATGGTTAAGTAGGTACACGCAGGGCTGTCCTTATGGGGGTGCAACTGGTTCGTCCACACCAGGCCCTGGGCTTGAGGCAATCTATTTAATATACGTTCTCTACTTCGCACCAGGCCCTGCCTACGTCAGCTAAGGATGGCCCTGGTTCACGGTGGGTGTTCACTACATGTTGTGTGTGTGCAATTGGATGGGTTAAATGCAGAGCATGGCACACCATACTTGGCTACACTGCTCTGGGCGTGTGTTCATGGCAGGGCTGTCCTTATGGGGGTGCAACTGGTTCGTCCACACCAGGCCCTGGGCTTGAGGCAATCTATTTAATATACGTTCTCTACTTCGCACCAGGCCCTGCCTACGTCAGCTAAGGATGGCCCTGGTTCACGGTGGGTGTTCACTACATGTTGTGTGTGTGCAATTGGATGGGTTAAATGCAGAGCATGGCACACCATACTTGGCTACACGTCACTTTCTCTCAAGCAGAAAAAGCATAGAGCAGAGACTAGAAAAAGTGAAGCTTGAGGGCCCGGGCCCGCAGTGTATAAGTTGCTTTGTATAACCATCTGCCAAATGCATAACTGTAAATCTGTGATGGACTTGAATCTTGTGTGGCTGTCCAAGCTAATGCTCTTCAGCTCCACAATTTTTTTTAGGGGGAGAAAGACAAAAAAAAAATTCCAAAGGGAGAAAAACAAAACTATGAATTTGACTAGATTCAATAATCTCAAATGCATTGGAAAGCTCAAGGGTCAAGCTTATGTGGGTTCAGCATGAATGTGACTGATCACAAGCAGTTGAAGACTGAACAAATTTACCTGCAGCATCCTCTAGTGGGCTAGACATGAAAAGTCTTCTGGGTTGGAATGCCGGGTGTCTGTGCAGCTGCGTGTCCTCTTTCAGACCCACATACAGCTCTGTGCAGCAAATACGTGTTCTCAATTAAACATTGAAATTGTTACTTATTTCTGAAGATTTTTTTAGAGGCTTTGATGTAAACACTGCATGTCAAAAAGGCGGGGTTGTCTCACCTGAGGATTCATCTGCTTCACTTTTCTGGGGAATTGATGTGTCTTTATCCAAATTGTGCTGAATAAATATGTATATATATTTTTAATATAAATATGCATTATAAGCACACGGTATTGAAATCAACTTGTACCTCTTCAATAAGATTATCAAGTTCCTCTAGTGGCAAACTGGTTTCAGAAAGAGTCTTGTTTTGAAAACCTTGAAACAACAGGTCAGTTTTAAATCAGTATAAGTCATCTTCTGAGATTAGCCTTAAGTAAGCATACTGACCTGAATCAGCAGTAGACTCTTTGAATAAGGATGATTCCATGTTCAGTGATCTCCCTAGTTTGACTTGAGACTGCCAGTCTTCACTTGCCACCCTTTCCCTTCCTTGAAGTCTTTGTTTGGGTGTTGAATACTAGGAAGAAAATTCATAAAGACCCACATTTTTATACCCTGTATAAAATGTAGCTATTTTTTCCCCCCCCAAAAAAAAAAAAAAAAAAAAAAAAAAAAAATCTACTGAAAAGTGACATTCTACCTTAGAGAACTCCTCATTACTGCTGGGTGATGAAAGAGGAAGAACTACGGAGGAGTTATATAAAAAAGAAAAACAGCACACAAATAAGGATGCAGCATATCTGAATGATTTATAAAGTAAAGTAGTCCTGCAGGATGAGTAACTACCTTTGAGTTTGCCCTTAGCTCTGGGCTTTCTTCTGCTGTAGACAGCATGTGGAGTGTCCTTGCGGAGACACCATTCATCTGAATGCATCACCTTCATTTTCTTCTGTAATCAACCACATTTTACATAATTTATATTTATGCATTTAGCAGATGTGTTTGTCCAAAGCTACTTAAAATAGAGCGGCATAAGTAATTAGTCAGAGAGCTGACAGTATTCAGTGTACAATGCCAGATTTATTATAAAGCTAGATTAGGCAAACTAGAGCATTCTTGAATGTACAACCATCTAATATAAATTAAATGACCAATTTCTGCAAATAATGGAGCCTTTACATATTCTAGCTAACCTTAACAGGAGTTCTACCCAGAGTGTCAGGGAGGGATTTTGTAGACCTGAAGAAAAATGCACGTTTCAGGGAAACTACTATAAATGCACAGAAGTACATTTTGACATACAAAGTGGCATTCCTGCATTTCATACTGATTTTAAAATTAGATGGGCACTGTCAGACATACCTGACAGAAATATCACTTACCCGTTAGATGACGACGTCTGACAGAACAATACAGTCTTGGCACGTGCAACCTAAACCGAAAAGCCAATCTTAATTGATCTTAAACTTTAAATCTGAGAAAATAAAGAGAATTTTAAAAAGTAACAAGGTTACATGTTAACTAATGGCACAATTTCTTAGGGTAGAAAATTGGCCTTGAAACTTTAAATTTGACAAGTTTCTAATTTTTAGTAGTCATTTGAGTGGCACTTTACGTACATTAAGCCTGGCCAGATCAAGTTAAACAAATAAAATTAACAAACTGACTCAAGAGCACCAAAACATTGGTAAAGAAATGCATATTAAATTGGCCACTTGTAAGTGTTTAAGAGGACAGTGGACCTGATATGCATCTCTGCGCACCACTGACCTGGTACCTCCACAAAGCGGTCATGAACGTTATAGTCTTTGGATTCCTGTCATGTGACTTCCCTGACCGGTCTGTGTCAAAAGTGTCACTCTGACTTTGAGACACCTCAAGGATCACCTGGGGCAGCCATATACACACACACACCTACTCATATTCCAGAAAACTACAATTCTTCAACAAGTGGACCTATGACATTATTCCTTGTCATTTAGCATCCAAAATGTTTTCTAAAGTGTCCAGTACAAGTTCTTGGGGGGGAATAACTGCACGTAATGTAATAAGTATTATGTTATGAGCATTTTATTACATTAATGTAATAATTCTCAAAACGTAAAAATCTTGAGCTCATAATTTTTTCAATGTAATAATTTTTCACATAATGTAATAGGTTATTGTATGAGAAATGTATTACATTATGAACACACTGTGACAAATTATAATGTAATCACAGTTAAGGTAATACCAGCACATTTAAAACAATGTTTACAATATAATAAATTTGAGCACAAAACGTAATAACAGTTATGTAGAATAAGAAAATTAGGCTACATTGTGAACTTTTTATATAAAAAGCTGACAAATTTTGTGATTATGACATGCTTCATCATATATATATATATATATATATATATTTTTTTTTTTACATTTAGTCATTTAGCAGACACTTTTATTCATAGCGACTGACACATTAGGACAATGGAAGCAATCAAAATCAAAAGAGCAATGATATACAAGTGCTATAACATATATTCACACCTGTTAATAAATAAAATAAATAAAACAGCTTATAGGCACAGAAATGCGTGATTGTAAGTTTATTTTGTGACTTTATTTTTCAACATATCCTCTGATGTACATTCATGTTATGTATTAAAGTAAAGAAATGTTCATTTAACTCGTGCTCCGTGCTGCTGTTGCCCGAGGCAGATAATGCGATCCATCCCAGACGACTTTAGACTTTGGAAACTTAATTTTCCCCCCCAAATTGGTTCAAAAAAAATTCCTTCAATTCAAGGACATAACATTTAGTAGGGGTGCAACTGAATTGTTCCTAGCAATAATTTTAATCAAACAATTAAAATATATTTGATGTAGGCTAATCACGGTCATCATACCACGGACATTACCGGAGAAATTCGTATTAATACGTCAGCAAACTGTGCTCTTTCAAAGGACGTGCATTTAATGCATGGCCAAAGTCAGAACATCATCTAAGTATTTAAAACATGCAAAGTAGGATTGCCAGCTGTTCCCAGACTTAAGTAGCATTCCATATGGAAAGCAGTTTATCGTGTCACGCCCAGTTTAGGGAGCCAAACACGAAGAAAAAAAAAGAAAAAAAACAAAACACCCAGGAGCACCCTTAATTGAAACTGTAATAACATATTTGGCAAACTCTTCCGTGCATATTTGCATTTCCGCTCTGGAGCGCATCAGATGTTTCTATTTACAAAGTTTGCAGCATTGAGCGGTGTAACCAATCACAGACATGTCTGTTGAACTGAGATGAGTGACAGGCTCTGTGCATTTGGAATTCTAAAGGGAGCACTCTTTGCACGTATTCTAGGCTATCTGTAATGTATTCATAATTTTAATAAAAGGGTTTTTTCATGATGCTAAGAGGAACAATGTCCCCTCACTAAAGTTCAGCTATAGTTTAGTTATTCTATAAATGCTAAAATGAATCTCAGACGTTAACATATTTGCTTTGCTTCATTCAATTAATTAAAATTAATGTACAAAATTAATTCAGAAGAGTAATATATTTCCTCTTAGAATTAATTTGTGTATACACACCAACTAATTCTAAAAGGATATATATATATATATATATAAATAAAAAAAAGTGTACATAAGTACTGTACCATGATAAATGCATGAATATTTAAATCTGGTGCATTTCATAGGTAGTTTAAACCAATGTTTTTATGTTTAAAAAGTCTATTACAATTGTGACAACATTTTTGGTGTGTTTATATTGTAATACATTTCCCATAATGTAATTACTACATTATGAGCTCAATATTTTATTACGTTTTGAGAAAATTACTACATTACAATAATAATGTAATACTTATTACATAATGTGCAGTTATTACATAACGAGTTGCTACACACCTGCTTTGGCACAATATAAAAATTGGGGATTTTGAAATTAGCACTACCGAATTAACAAATAAATGTTTAATAAAGCATTAACATTCCAGACAAGACAGGCTATGCAAGACAAAGGTGGGCACCGTTCTTCCAGATCATGTTTTTATTTTATTTTGATGCTTAAGAAATATAAATTATTTGTTAACATTTATATTTCAAGTAACATGGAAATATTTTAATTCAAGTAATGTAACTTACATTTTTGTGTTTGTTTTAATTTTAGTTTAACTATATACAGTGGGGCAATAAAGTATTTAGTCAGCCACCAATTGTGCAAGTTCTCCCACTTAAAAAGATGAGAAAGGCCTGTAATTTTCATCATAGAAAAAAAAAAAAAATTGACCCATGTTATACCCTTGTATTCTAATAAATATGCTTATGACACCAAAACACCAGTTACATTTGTACAATTCCAATACCAAAGCAAAAACTAGCCTAACAAAGTTCAAATACTTTTAAAGACAAGTGAACAGTAGTAAATAAGAACAAATTACAAGCAATAGCACAAATAAGCAAACAGAACAGAGATACAAATGAAAGATGGTTTGGGTTTTTAGGTATGTAGGTGTTTAAGTCAGTTAAGCAGTGGCGGATCGTCGGGGGAGGCAGCGGAGGCACAGCTTCCCCAAAAGTTTGAGGTGAAAAATGGGAGGACGACAATTTAATGTTAATAAAATTAATAATTCTCAGAATGTGTTTTTTTTTTCACAGCTGTAATACCATAACATGTTACTGAAGTTGGAACGTGTCGCTTTTCTGTCGAGAATATGCCGAATCTGCTTATGTAATTACAACCGCTAGGTGATGGGGGGGGTAGCAGAGCTCTCGTGCCTCCGTTGGTAAAAAAAAAAAAAAAAAAAGAGCCAAATCACCATCGAGTGTTCACTTTCAGCGCTGAGGAGTGTTGAGTAAAGAAACCTCGTAGGGGAGGCTAGCCTCCCTTCTGGTAGATCAACCAATAATTATAGAGGCGTAAATTATGTGATATTAGTTTGAACGTCTCCCGCTGCGCTGATAATGTACCAAGTACTTATGAGTGGTGATATTGAATATTTGATGCCAACAGATTTACCAAGCTGTCATTCAAACAGTATATATATATATATATATATATATATACACACACATAAATTAAAAATAAATGGAGAACACGCCTAAGCTGGATCTAGGCTAACGTTACAGCAGTCGGCTCTTTTAACACAGACTTTTAAGAAGGGATGGATGTTTGCTTCAAGTGATATAGGCCAGGTAAGTGACATTATATTATCTTGAGTATGAGTGTCGTTTTCTTTACGTTTTCTGACTAAAAGCAACCAAAAAGCCATTTTAAAGTGGTTAAGCAAATAATAGTAATTAGGCAGGGATCCCCGGACCAATACAATTAGTGTGCCTCCTCTAATTTAAAACCCACGAGCTGCCACTGGTTCAAGTACAGAAATTGAATAATCAAATGTAAAATAACAAAAGCATATTCTTCACTAAATAAATAATATTAAGGATACCAACAGCATGTTTTAAATTAGTCACGGTCACTTTAAACACAATTCATGGGTCTAATATACTTTTGTATTTGTCCGTTCCAAGTGCAAGAAGATGCGAAAAGAAACTCCATTCTGAGTTTTCGCATTGTCAGAGATGCGGGCCAGAGCCTGCAGAGTTTAGATTCAACCCTAATTAAACACACCTGATCCAGCTAATCAAATCCATCAGGTTTATTTGAAAACTATATAAGTGTTGGAACTAAACTCTCTAGGCTGCAGCCCTCCAAGAATTGAGTTTGACACCCCTGGTTTACCATCATGTAAATTCACATTTTTCCAGAATTACGTAAAAGTCAGTCACCGTTAAACTAAGAGAAGAATAGCATGAACGTTATAGTTAACTACCCAACCTGTACCAATATGACTAAAAAAAAAAACATTGTCAGATTTTAATTGAAAGGATTATTGCCGCTTTCCTTAGACGCCAGTGTTTAACAAACATCAGTGTGTATTTAACAAATGCATTTTATTTGCTATAATTAATTTAAACGTCTGAAACCTAAAACAAAGTGTGGTTGAATTTAGCAGTGATTGTTCCAAATACACCGGTGATGGTCCACATCAAACGGTTAAAATAGACACGTTTTGGGGGGGGGTCAAATTGAATCTGGAGTGACAAATCAGATCCGATGAGGAGTCCCTCGGTTGAAACCGCATTCGGTTTAGATTGCTTTCCGCGTTTAAAATCGTATTCCAGGGGTTGAGGGGTGGGTCCTTCAGATCCTCCTTATAATTATTTATAAGCTTGTTTTCTCATGGGGACCAAAACAAATGTCCCCAACAAGGTCAAGAATGACTGTTATTACCATCCTTGTGGGGACATTTGATTCCCATAATTTAGGAAAAACCAAGTACATTCTTACACACACACAAAAGCATACCTCAGAATCTGAATTATCCTTAAATTGAAAGATGTCTTGGGCTGGGGTTCCTTTGACTCTTCACTCACCAAAGAAAGACAATCATAAAACCACTGTTTGCCATCAGAGAGTACATGTACAGCAATAAATAGTCTTACTTTGATCTTGAATATCTGCTTGGTCCACTCAAAGGGGAATGCTGAAAAATGACTGGAAAATGGGTGCCCATACAACATCTTTAATTTGCTATCTGGATTATCTAGTTACCTGATGGATGACTTTGGTTTCTGCAGCAGATGGACTATGGAAGGATGCCATCAGAGAGTACATGTACAGCAATAAATAGTCTTACTTTGATGACTTTGATCTTGAATATCTGCTTGGTCCACTCAAAGGGGAATGCTGAAAAATGACTGGAAAATGGGTGCCCATACAACATCTTTAATTTGCTATCTGGATTATCTAGTTACCTGATGGATGACTTTGGTTTCTGCAGCAGATGGACTATGGAAGGAAAAAAAAAATTCCATGAGAGAATTATCAAATTAAATGCAGAAATCAAGTTGCCTTCTGCTCTCTCAATGTAAACACTGAGATTTACAGAAATTTTACAGAGTTAGGCAAACATGCCTGGCAAAAGTCTGCGGCACTGATGTTTGTTCATGCTGGGTTCCTGTATAAGATGACATTTTACACTGATAAATCTGGAACAATGTACTGCACTGCAAATTAACTTGAACAAAACATCTGTAGAGTGGGTAAGGTGCATGCCTTCCATCTTGGTAGAGGAATCCCCTAATTGCAGAGCTTCCTAGTAATAAAAAAGGACATGTAATTTATAGCCACTGGTATGTATGTGAGGTATATTTACATATTTGACCATGACTCTTTAAAAACAGCACATGCCAACACCTTTGAGACAGAGGAAGACTGTGGTTTATCTGGAAACACTCTTGTCAGGGCTGTTTGGATGTTGTGTTCTGCACTAAAGATGATTTTGACAATTTTGCCAGTGATCTCTCCATGAGAGAGTGGGGTACTCATGTGAACTTCCAATATCTTCTGATCATCACACTCTAAAGCAATAAGAAATAGACATTTGAAGAAATAACATTAATGAGCTGTGGGATTTAAAAGCAATTACAAAAAAAGATTGTCTACTTAAGGTTTGTGTTTAGTTTTAATACCAACAAGGAAAGCCTTGTTAGAAACATTTTATGAACTGAAGAAAAGCTAGTGGTCAGGGCCTTTTACGATTAATCCCACCTTGAAGATCATACATGCTGACAACATCTTTAGGCAGGTGAATCAACTCCCACAGTGTGTTCTACCACAAATATAAGCTCAGTTTAGTTACACTACTGATTTAAACAAAAACAAAAAAAAAACACTTTATATGTGCACTAAAACATATTTTGGACACACCTTTGGATCATTTACAAAGAAACTAATAGTTGATGTTCCAATGTTGAAATCCACCCAAAACTCCTTTAGAAACTCATCTTCAGGCTTGAACAACTAAAAAGGATCATTCAAACACTGGTTGGTGTGAGAAATTGCAGTGTATAATCTAGGTAGCTTATTAGCAGTGCTTGAAGTGGAAAAAAAAGTAGTCCCTCCCCCCCACCCCAAAATAAATAAATGTATCAATATCTTAAAAGCAATTACAAAAAAAGATTGTCTACTTAAGGTTTGTGTTTAGTTTTAATACCAACAAGGAAAGCCTTGTTAGAAACATTTTATGAACTGAAGAAAAGCTAGTGGTCAGGGCCTTTTACGATTAATCCCACCTTGAAGATCATACATGCTGACAACATCTTTAGGCAGGTGAATCAACTCCCACAGTGTGTTCTACCACAAATATAAGCTCAGTTTAGTTACACTACTGATTTAAACAAAAACAAAAAAAAAACACTTTATATGTGCACTAAAACATATTTTGGACACACCTTTGGATCATTTACAAAGAAACTAATAGTTGATGTTCCAATGTTGAAATCCACCCAAAACTCCTTTAGAAACTCATCTTCAGGCTTGAACAACTAAAAAGGATCATTCAAACACTGGTTGGTGTGAGAAATTGCAGTGTATAATCTAGGTAGCTTATTAGCAGTGCTTGAAGTGGAAAAAAAAGTAGTCCCTCCCCCCCACCCCAAAATAAATAAATGTATCAATATCAACTTAACCTGCTGCCTTAACCTGACACCATACGAATCCATTCAGAATAACTAAACCACTGATCAGCACATAATCTAAAACACCTTCAGCCGGCATTCATTATAAAACACTTGTGCTTTTAAGCCAAATACACGATGAAAATAATAATTTACTGCCATCTGGATGAAATTCACCATTCTCTCCGCCATCTCAGAGGAAATCGTCTGTGTTTTCTCTGCATTAGTGCGGTTTTGAACTTATTACTAATGCATTCCCTTACTGGATCCTTGAACTTTCTGAAAAGTTTACCAGTTTCAAATGACCTTCTCCTGGGTAGTGTGCTTTATAGTGTAGTTTCTAATCACCCAGACACTGATGCTTTAGAGTAGCCTACCGGTCCACTTAAAGCACTGCTTATTAGAAAAGGAAGAAAAAAAATCTTGTAGAGAAAAGGTTTCATGCTCACCTCAGCTGAATCAAGAAATGCCTGAATACAAGGGAATGAGAAGACTCTAGGACAGAGGGATAAGATCGTGCAAATATGTCAAAACTTTACAGACAATGATGACTGCATAAAGCCTGCATTATAATAAATAAACTCAAATATACCTTCTTGAGTTGCCAAAATAACTATTGAGTTCATTCAGAAATGTCCTACAGTCCTTCCAAAAAAACAAAAAACAAAAAAAAAACTCCAATACTTGCAATATACCGTTTAAAACCAAAACATTCTAGTGCTTCGAGCAGTGAAAAATAAATGCCTGAACATACAGTTTCAAAATCTTTGTCACGAATTGAAGTAAAAGCGGAAGCAAAGCTCCTGAAACGGAACCATTTGCCAGCAAAGTCTTCTCTTAGTTTCCTTGGCGTCATCCTGCAGAGTGCTTCAGAAATGGCCACCTGCATTTCATAATCTGGTGACAGCATAATATATTAGCCTACGATATGAACACTATCAAAGAGAAAAAAAACACTATTTTTTTTTACAAATATTGATGGCTTACCACCAATGTCTGTCAACGCTTTTGCCAAGTCCTCTCTGTAAGAAATGACAACTCAAGTGTTTGCAACGAAATTCGCCCTTTTCCCGATTAGAAACTCGGTCTGTTTGTGTTGTAGAGAAATCTGTTGTCCACTAGAGCGCAGCCTTGCTTGCAATTGGTTGCGAGCGTCGCTCATTTGAAGTGTAAATGCGTGTGTTACCACCGTACTCTATAAATGGCAATTAATGTATGCTGTATGATAGCTTACAAGAGCCCGACGTGGTCATCAGACTGGCAGAGTTTCTTCCTTATATCTTTGGGGCTGCTGTCCAACATAGAGTTTATGGTTCTGATTGCCTGAGTGCAAATAATGTCTAATTATTTCACAGTTTAAATGTTTTAGCCAGACATTTTTTTACCAATAGCTTCATGACAATTACCTCTAGACGCAGACAGAAATTTTTATATATATATATATATATATATATATATATACATACACATACATACATACACATACACGCGTAAAGGAGTTATCTGTAGCGAAAATGTATTACCATGGCAACCTCGTAGAAAACTTCAATGAGATTCATGGCGTACCTAGGTGGTTTGTGCGGTCCTTTAAGATGTTCTGACGAAATCTCAAACCAATTCAACATTTACAAAGCGAGAAGATTATAAATTAAAATACTGACCAGTAACTTAGAGGTTTATTTTAATCAGAATTAGACAAATATACTTATCTTCACAACCAAGCCGTGATGAACAAGTTTCTGGATGCTGTCTTCATCTTTACTAATGAGATGTTCAATTGCCCGTAATATTAAGGCAACATTCTTATGTTCGATTTTATGCAGCTCCTGAAGAAAAGTAATACAATTGTATATGGGTAAGAAATGTCCACTTTTGCAGTGGGAAATCTTAATCAAAACTGCAAAACATGTCTCCCCCCCCCCCCCCGGGCATAAAAAAAAACAAACAA